TACCAGTGAGAGACGCCAGTGCAATGTGGAAATCATGGAAAGAGCTGAGACTGGGAGTCTGGAATCGCCTGCTGGGACACCTGGGCATCCTCTCGCTCCTGTCCCCGTGGAGAAAAGAGCAGGAGAAGGTCTGGGACTGGCTTGGTGGTGATTGATGGGAGTGTTGCTGTTCCTGGGCTCTCCCAAAGCTGGTGCTGTTGGAATTGGCTGGCACAGAGCTCCTGGCAGCTCTGGTTTCTCCTGGAAGTGCTTTCTGAGCCTGCACTCTCAGGAAATGCCGTGAGGGAGCTGCACGCCCCGGCTGGGAGGTGGATGAGATGCCAGCTTGGCCCAGACGGAGCAGAAACAGAGCCAGGACAGCACCAGGAGTGGCCATTCCTCCTTTTTAAAGGTTGTCCTCTAGTCCTGCCCTCAGCTGGAGCAGCTCCTCTAACCCAGACCATGCCAGGAGCCACCAAACCAGCTCATTTCTGGCCATTCTCGTGGAGGGAAGACACAAAGCCCTCAAGATTAAGGAGGCTGACCAGTGATTCAGTCTCGTCTCCTGGTGAAAATCATGGAATACATCCCTGGGTTTGTGTTGGTTCCCAGTGAGGTTTGCTCTCCATGGTTGTGGCCATCAAAATGTGATGTAGCAGAAATCTGCAGGTGCTAAACCAGGATGTGCCCACTCTCCTGAAAAACTGCACAGAGGGTTTTGTGCCAGAACAGGATAATTTCAAAGGTCTAATTCCATTCAAACAGGGTTTGATTTTATTGGGAAATTGCCAGTGATTTTGTGACCATCCAAATGTGATGTATCAGAAATCTGCAGGTGCTAAACCAGGATGTGCCCACTCTCCTGAAAATCTGCATAGAGGGTTTTGTGCCAGAACGGGAAAAGCAGGACCGGACAATTTCAAAGGTCTAATTCCACTCCAACAGGGTTTGATTTTATTGAGAAATGGCCAGTGATTGATTTCTTGCTAAGATCAGTTTTCACTTAAGGATTATCCCAGGCTGCCTCTGCAGGGAAATTGGAGTTTATCGAGATGCACGGCCAGAAGTGTGGAACAGCTTTTTAAAGAACACATTCCTGAGCACTCAGTGCAGAGGAATTCAACCTGATTGAATCCACCAAGTGTGACCCAGTTGAAAAATCTCCTTCACATCAAATCATCAAAGCTGCTTTTGATCCCTCCCCATCATGAGCTGCCCATGGTGCTGTGGCAGGGAGGAGGAGGAGTGGCAGCCACAAACTGTTGGTAGATCTTGAAATAAATGGGAATGGGATCTTCCTTACCCTCCTGGGAGGGAGGAAGCAGCTCACAGGAGCAGGTGGGAAGTCCTGGGTGCCACCAGCAGCATTTGGGAAGCTGGAAATTGCTGCAGCCTTGCTCTGTGGCTCATGGAGATGAAACAGCAGTTAGTGAGGAATTCCCAGTGAGGGGAAGGGGAACAGCAAACAGTGGCCAGAATCTGATTTAGAGGCTGATTTCCTACAGAGGACGAAAGGGTGACCTTCCCCAAGGTCCCTTTCATGGTTGTGTCCTAGGAGGGATCCTCTCATGAGAGGACAGAGCAAGCAGGTCTCTCAAAACCTCCACAGAATTCCTATTTTGCTTCCTTTCAAAGTTATTTAAACCAGCAAAGAAGCGAGACCCAGTGATTCTTTTTATTTATTGCTGATCTGAGCAGGGTTTCAAATTAATGAGGTGTGGGCTGAGTTGGTAAAAATGGCACCATGATTTAACATTGCAGAGGATAAATGCTCATCTCCAGCTTCAGTCTGTCTCTGTCGTGTCTCCTGCAGCATCTGAAGCAAAACCTCTTCAGTGGGATAAAGGTTTAAAGTAATTCCAGGGTAAGGGAGTTTTTCCATCGTGCTGCTGTTCCTCATGATTTTTTCTGGTGTGGGATTTTGATTTTGGACTCAGTTTTAAGCACATAATGAAGCTGGATGGTGATGGTAGAGCATGGTGTCTGTGGGGTTTTTATGGGCTCAGTTGTGACTTGTTACAATCACACCACAGAGACCTCCATTTCAATCCACGTGGGTTTCAATTTGGTGTAGAATTTATGGGGTTTGCAGCCAGTTCCTGTTGGTTTTGGGTGGTTTCAGTGGGGCAGCTCTGCTGTTTCCTGCTGCTCCTGGTGTTCCTCCAGTGATGGTGTCAGCAGCCGCTGCTCAGGACATCAAGGGAGCCCCTGATACACTCGTGAAGCAACTGCGCTGTGTGAGGAGAGGGACTTTATCCTCATAGTTTTTATAAACACTTTAAAGGACTGCAGAATTACTCCTGGCTGTCATCCAAGCCTTCAGGACTAAGGAAGTGTCCAGAAATGTCCCTGCAGTCACCACTGTGCCATTAGGCTTTCCCTCCTCCTGAAACCACTCTGGTTTTGGGAGAACACCAGGGATCAATGATCCTTTCCTGGAGTGGGGAATGCTCCTCTCTAAAGGATGAAGGGAACAGCTTTCCTGTCATCCCTGTGCCCAGATCCTGCTCAAATCCAGGCCCCACCCTTTGGACGTGTCACAGGGATGCTTGGCTGGGCCTGCTTGGTGACACCTTCACTGCCAGCCAAGGTGTGGGCCCACAGAGCCTGGCTGGTGTCAGGAACCCTTGGGGAATAATTTGAATTCGGGAATAATTGGAATATGGGAATGGCTTCCCAAGGGTTCAGTGTTGGTGGCATTGGCTGTGGGTTGCTTTTGAGTGCAAGGTTTGGTTCCAGTGGTTTCATCTGTTGTCTTGGGGTCTGTTCTCCTGACTTTAAAATCACTGTGCTCTATCAGTCATATTCTCATCACATTTTCCCATGGGTTTTTAAAATTTTAATAGTCAGAAAAGCAGCAATGTCCCCTTTCAGGAAAAGCTTGGTGTCTTGGGAAATCTGTTAAGCTGATCCATAAGGATTTACTTGAGATATTTTTTCCCACCCATTTTTCTGTGGTGATGGCAGTGTGAGTTTCCTGACAGGAGTTTAGGGCTGATTGTTTCTCCACCAGGAGTTTTCAGTTTGTCTCAATGTACAGATATTTTTTGCCACCCATTTTTCTGTGGTGATGGCAGTGTGAGTTTTGTGGAAGGGGTTTAGGGCTGATTGTTTCTCCACAAGAAGTTTTCAGTTTGTCTCAATTTGCACCTCAACGTCTCAGTCCCTTCCTCACTGGCACTGTTTGAACTCCTGCTATTTTTGGATGGTTCTAACATTACAACCCAAGTTGTAAACAGGCTTGGACAGCAGCAGCATCAGACTCCAGCAGCTTTTTTGGGAGGATTGGGAGTCTGAAGCTGGCTTGGCTTTAGCTGTAGCCTCAGTAGGTTTGTGACAGTCTCACAGCAACAATTCTGCTGTTCCTCAGGCTGGAATATTCCAACCCTTCCCCAGCACTGCCAATCCCACCACTGACCGTGCTAAATCCCTTCAGGGATGGGGCTCCAGCACTTCCCTGTTCCACTGACAGCCCCTTTGGAGAAGAAATGTTCCCTAAAATCCCATCTAAACCTCCCCAGCACAACTTGAACCCATTTCCTCTCGTCTCGTGGCGTGGGAGAAGAGTCTGACTCCCACCTGGATGCAGCCTCCTTTTTGTTTGGTCAAAATACCCCTCTTGACAAAATGGTTTGGGTTCCTGTGTCTCGCTGACCCCCATGGCATTCTGTGCTCAGTCAGGAGCTGTAATTCCATGACAGCTCTTACCACGTCAGAACCTTTTTTTTGTTTATTTTCCTATTCCCTGCAGCTGGTCACCTCTTTCTGCCCTTTACCCTGAACAAGAACAGATTCCCTTTGGGGAATCTCTTTTTGAGGGTTGAGGTTCTAATTCTCCTGTTGGGAAATCTCTTAGGGATGTGCCTTTTCCTTTCCACAAACGTACAGCAGGCACAGACTGAAAATATCCCTGCACCTCCCATGCTGGTCCTTCTGTGCTCCCAGTGTGTGGCCCAGGGCCCTGCTGACTCTGTAAGCTGCTGCTTTGCTCACTGCTTTACCACTGGGCGCTGTAATAAATCACCTTTCTGTGATATTTGTGCTTGGGCTGGGATGGCTTTGCCTCTTTCTGGACTCTGAGTCCAGGTCTGGGCCCCTGCTGAGCAGAAAGAGCTGGAGGGGCTGGAGGGTGTCCAGGGAATGGAGCTGGGAAGGGTCTGGAGAACCAGGAGGGGCTGAGGGAGCTGGGCAGGGAATGGAGAACCAGGAGGGGCTGAGGGAGCTGGGAAGGGGCTGAGCCTGGAGCAAAGGAGGCTCAGGGGCCCTTGTGGCTCTGCACAAGTCCCTGCCAGGAGGGCACAGCTGGGGAACAGGGACAGGAGCAGAGGGAACGGCCTCAGGCTGGGCCAGGGCAGCTCAGGGTGGAACCAGCAGGAATTTCCCCATGGAAAGGGGTCAGGCCTTGGCAGGGGCTGCCCAAGGAGATGGTGGACTCACTGTCCCTGGGGATGTCCAAGGAATTCCTGGATGTGGCACTCAGTGCTCTGCTCTGGGGAGGGGACATAGGTTGGACTTGATGATCTCAGAGGTCTTTTCCATCCTCAGTGCTCCTGGGATTCTGTGCTGCCATCCTCATTTGTGTCCTGGGCTACTGAGGTCAGAGGAGACTTTGTGTCACCCTCAGGCCTCTTGATGACAAAACCAAGTCCCAGCTTTAACCCTTCAATGTGTGGGTCAGGGACAATCTTAGGGCTGCAGGGTCCTTGGGGACCTTCCATCCAGCAGACATGATGATGTCTGGGTGCTGTGCTCTGTTCAGAAGTGTGAGTTTTTCCAAACTCTTTAACCTAAAGTTCCTCTCATGGCTCTTGGCAAAGTTATTTCCCTCTTGTAGACATCCTGAGGGAGGTGATCTCTGTCCCTGGTGCTCACGGCCCGTCACGGCTTTTTGTCACGGCTTTTTGTTACACCTTTTTGTCAGGGTTTTTTGTCACGTTTTTTTGTTACACCTTTTTGTCACGGTTTTTTGTTACGGTTTTTTTTCACAGCTTTCTGTCACGTTTTTTTGTCCCCCCTGGCAGTGACTCTTGATGGAAGAGCACGGGGTGAGCCAGGCAGAGCACATGGCTACCATCGAGGCGCACGCCGTGGCGCAGCAGGTGCAGCAGGTGCACGTGGCCACCTACACGGAGCACAGCATGCTGAGCGCCGACGAGGACTCGCCCTCCTCGCCCGAGGACACCTCCTACGACGACTCCGACATCCTCAACTCCACGGCGGCCGACGAGGTCACCGCGCACCTGGCGGCCGCAGGTAACGCCCGGGGCCGCTCGTCCTCGCTTGGGCAAGGGGAAACGGGAAAGCCTTGTGAACAGGATTGTCTGGCAGGAGGTTTTGGGAATATGGAAAGTGTAAGTGGGATTGAAGTGAAAGCAAGTTTTGAGATCTCTCAGTTACTGACAACTGGAAAACAATGGTGTGGCCAGCTGAAGGTGATCCCCTTTTGATGGAACAACACCCTCTGCTTGCAGACAGCTCCAAGGGTCAGAGCAGACCCTGCAGCTTGGCAGAAGGGGCCCAAAGAGGAGTTTTTAGGGTTTAAAATATAACACAGTGTGGTAATGTAATGATTCTTACAGGCTGTATAGAAATGCTGTAGGATTTGTATCTTGTACTAGATTGGTTAGTGAGAATTAAAATATTCAACACAGAAGAAGATTTATGGTATTGGAATGGGCATCTTGCCCTCTTACCCGTTTACTCTCTTACCTTTTTTACTCCCTTACGCTCTTACCCTCTCATCCTCTCTCTCTCTCTCATCCTTTTTACCCTTCTCTTCTCTCAGATCTGCTCTGAGCTGTGGCTGCAGCTCCAGCAGGGCCCTGCACCCAGGCCCTGTGCAATGAACCCCAAATCCCAGCAGGGCCCTGCACCCAGGCCCTGTGCAATGAACCCCAAATCCAGCAGGGCCCTGCATGCATTCCCTTTGCAATAAACCCCAAATCCCAGCAGGGCCCTGCACCCAGGCCCTGTGCAATAAACCCCAAATCCCAGCAGGGCCCTGCATGCATTCCCTTTGCAATGAACCCCAAATCCCAGCAGGGCCCTGCATGCATTCCCTTTGCAATAAACCCCAAATCCCAGCAGGGCCCTGCACCCCGGCCCTTTGCAATAAACCCCAAATCCCAGCAGGGCCTTGCACCCAGGCCCTGTGCAATGAACCCCAAATCCCAGCAGGGCCCTGCACCCAGGCCCTGTGCAATGAACCCCAAGTTCCACCACCTGGCTGCAGAGATCTCTCATCTCCATCCATCCTGACCATCCTACCCCCATGCATCAGCCATGCAGGGACACTCCCTGGCCATGGACAGCAGAGATCTCCTGGAGGGAGGGTTGGCTGTGGGAGAGATAAAGAAAACTTGTAAGAGTTCAGAGGAAGGGGGTTTACATTTTCCATTTCAGGGGAGGCTCCTGCCTTCCTGAGCAGACACCTGGCTTTTCAAACCAAGTTACAAGGCCTAAAACAGTCAGGTGTCCTTGAGTTTCAGGCCTAGAGAGGAATTGTTTTATCTGAGTAAAATGGGAGAACGGCAGCTGATAGGCTAAGCAGTTTTACAGTTATACACTAAAGCAGTACAGGATCTGAAAAATAGAAAAGCTAAATCCTAGGGCATCACTGGTCCATCCCACCCGCAGGAATATTCCACAGGAAATTCTCCCTGCTGACCACTTGAATCCCACATTGTTTCTGTGTGCACCACAGAGGTGCTGGGAATTGCTGGTCTATACAAAGGTCCCTGCTAAAATGCTGCCTCAAGTAACGAAATTAAAATTCCAAATATGTCAAAGAGCAAAGATTATTTCAGGCCCCACAGAAACAACAGCAAAAACTAACCCAGGAGTGCAGCCTTGCTGAGTCAGGGAGCTCAGGTGTTCGGCCTCTCCACGGAGATCCACAGAAAATCCTGGCATATCCAGACTGGGAAAGGACTTCAGAATCACAGATTCCTCCCAGTGAGCCAAACATCCTCCAGACTGGCCCTCTAGTGGGTCTGCATTGGCAGAAAAATGGGATGATAATAAAGCACTGAGTGTGGCCTGACTCTGTATCAGACTTGAGACCAAACCTGTGAGGTTCCACCACCCCCTGAGCATCCCAGGCCTCCTCTTGCTTATGAACTTTCCAGCCTCCCATCCTGCAGGAATTTTTCTTTCCCCTTCCCTTCTAGCACACAGGATTTTCAGGCCTGGGTGGTCTTCAGAAGGCTCTGGTAGGGCACTGCTGTGAACTCTGGATTTTACATTTCTTTCCCTGGTAGGACACTGTTGGAACTCTGGATTTTACATTTTTGTCCCTGATGGGACACTGCTGTGAAATCTGGATTTTACATTTTTTTTCCCTGGTAGGACACTGCTGGAAATTCTGGATTTTACAATTCTGTCCCTGGTAGGACACTGCTAGAAACTCTGGATTTTACATTTCTTTCCCTGGTAGGACAGTGCTGGGAGCTCTGGATTTTACATTTCTGTCCCTGATAGGGCACGGCTGAGAACTCTGGATTTGACATTTCTTTCTCTGGTAGAACACTGCTGAGATTTCTTTCCCTTGTAGGACACTGCTGAGAACTCTGGATTTTACATTTCTGTCCCTGGTAGGGCACTGCTGGGATCTCTGGATTTTACATTTCTTTCCCATTAGAACCCTGCTGTGAGCTCTGGATTTTACATTTCTTTCCCACTAGAACAGGTCCTTAATCCCTCAGGAAAGGCTCAGACTCCTGATGCTGTAGTTGTTGTAGTTCCAAGCAGGATTTTTGGAGCTGTACTTGGTTTCCTCTTCCCAGCCACCAGCATCTCCTCAGTTATTCAGACCTTGGGAGTTTTTCAAGATGAAAACACAGAGTTCTGTCAGTGTAAGGACAACTTTGGGCTGAAAATGTGACTTTGACCCAGGACTGAGCAGGGATTTGCCAGCCTGGGGAATGGAGCTTTCAGGGAGGGATTGGTGTCCCTTGGCTGTGCTGGGGACACCCTGGGCACCCCTTCCTGGCCGGGGGGCGCGGTGCCAGTGTCCCTCTGAGCTGCTGGAGCTGACTGAGCCTGTGCTGTGCTTTGCAGGCCCTGTGGGGATGGCAGCAGCCGCTGCTGTGGCCACGGGGAAGAAGCGGAAGCGGCCGCACGTGTTCGAGTCCAACCCCTCCATCCGCAAGAGGCAGCAGACACGATTGCTCAGGTGAGCTCTCACCTGGCCCTGGCACCTCAGGGTCCTCCTGCCAGCTCTGGTGGCCTCTGGGGTCACACCAAGTGCTGCCCAGGAGTCACCCAGCTCGGGGGTTTTTTGGGAGTGTCTTTCTGGAAGCCAGGAAGTTATAAGTTATATTTAAGTTTGGTCCGTTTACATATCAGGGGTAAATCAGGGTGTTGGTTGGCATTAAAGGGTTAAACTGCAGCTCTGCTCATCTCATCTCCTGATCACCAGGACTTCCACTCTGGTGGATCCATTGTTCTGTTTTAACCCCAGTTATCTGTCACAGTGATATTCCAAGATAATCCACAGTGGCTTTAGCAGAAATTGCTAAATTTCCATATCCCAGCTCTCAATTTATCTGCCTCACAAAAAACGTCATTTCTGCTTGATTAAACCATTCAGTGTGTGGATATCCAAATTTCCTTTGCCATTGTGAAGACTGGCAAAGGAATCTCAGGCAGGTATCTCCCCCAGATTATTCTTCCTAAAACTGTGCTCTAAACTCCGCGGTGAAGACTGCAGGGTTTAGAGCACAATTTTCGGAAGAATGACCCAGGGGAGATTCCTGCCTGAGCTGAAACACTTTTTCTGGCTTTAGAAGCTTCCAGTGGGGACAGCAGAGCTGCCCAGCCCTGCAGGTGCTGCATTCCAGGTGCTCTGAGGCGCTTTGCCCACCTGGTGGCCGCCGAGCCTCACCAGAGCCGAGGGCACTGCACGGCCCCGGAGGCTCCACCCGAGTTCCATGTCCTGGAAACATTTGTGAGCATCGGCTGCTACTGTTCCCTGCCTTTTGCAGCAGAGCAATTCCTGCTTTTTCTGCTGTTTGGGATCTCATTGGGCGGTAAAGGTTTAATTATTGGGCAGAGTTACTGCTAAATAATAATCCTTGGGAGTGAACTCCCTGCCTTTTGCAGCTCCGTTCTGGTTTTCCCTCCTTCCCCAAACTCAGCCCTGTTTACTGCAGTGTTTCTGTGTTTACTGCAGTGTTTCTGTGTTTATTGCATGTTTCTGTGTTTATTGCAGTGTTGCTGAAGAACAAATCTTTTTCTCCCTTAAATATGAACAATATATTTTTAAAGAAACTGCTCAGCGAAGGAGTTATTTCTTCTCCTACACTTCATTTTGTTACATTAAGATAATGACAAAACATCATTTTTTTCCCACTCTGATCAGTTGAACACATGTTTGTGCTTGATTTTCACCCCACTGGGAATCAAGTGGTAATTCCAAACCCCTGACAGTGGGATCTGTGTAGCTGGAGGTGCTTTTTGGCAGCCTCAGGTTCTGAAATGACCAGGACAGGGGCTGAGCTGTCACCTCACAGAGTGCTCAGCTTTTCTGGGAAAACACTACTTCTCTCTTGCTTTTGGTGTTTCTGCCACCATTTCTGGCTCCTGCACTGTTTAACAGGGAATAAGAGGCAGAAAATATCCAGTGGAACATTTTGATTCCCAAGGGAGTTGCTGATGGGGCAGGTGTTGGGACACCTGGGTTTCCTGTGCTGAGCTGTTGCAATATTTCCAGTTCTTGCCTATCCTGTAGCTTGAATTCCTCCAGATCTGGTCTGAGCAGAACTTTGGTGCTGGAGAATTGCCCTGCTATGATGTGGATGTAGAACAACCTCTGTCTGCAGGCCTCTTTTGATGAATTCAGGTGCTTCAACAAAACACAAGTTTTGTGTTGCCAGGACAGAGTGCAAGTGCAGATTCTCGCTGCCCCAGCTTTGCTGCTCTGCTGATTTCTCTTTTTACATCGATGAGAAAAGGAGACAGGGGACAATAATTGACATTTGAGCTGCTGGGTGACTGCAGGGAGCACAGCAGGCCTGTGGAGCAGAGGAATAAGCTCCATATGTGGCCAGGCTGAGCAGCTGGGGCTGTGTTTCTCACCTGCTTTGTGCAGGGGAGCTGGCAGCCAGGGGGGTGCTGTTTGTGCAGGGTTTCAGCTCCTGCCCATTCCCAGGTTTTGCTGTGTTTCAGGAAGCTGAGGGCCACGCTAGATGAGTACACCACCAGAGTGGGGCAGCAGGCCATCGTGCTGTGCATCTCACCCTCCAAACCCAACCCTGTCTTCAAAGTGTTCGGTGCTGCACCCCTGGAGAACGTGGTAGGTGTCCCTGGGAAAGTGAGGAGACAAATTCCTCACCTTCTCTGCAGGTTTTGTTCTGTTCAGGGCAGCCTTGGAAGCCCGGTAGGGATCTGAATGTCATGCTAAAAACCCTGGAAAACAGAGGTTAGGTTTTATGGGATACAGTGCTGGATCTGGTTGAGTCGGTGATTTCAGAGATCTTTTCCAGCCTTAATGTTCCTGTGACTCCCTGACGTGAGGGCAGCACTGAGGTCCTCTCCTCTGTCCTCTCTGCAAGAGTGGCTGCCTGGCACATCTCACCGGGGGGGAACATCCTGCATTAAAAATTTAAAAATCAGAGGGAACAGGTCATGATACAGAATCCCTGAGGTTGGAAAGGACCTCCAGAATCATTGAGTCCAAGGTGTCAGAACCCCACTTTGTCCCCAGTCCAGAGCTCTGAGTGCCACATCCAGGAATTCCTTGGCCACCTCCAGGGATGGGGGCTCCAAAGCTCCCTGGGCAGCCCCTGAACCCCCCCTTTCCATGGGGAAATTCCAGCCCTGAGACTCCCCTGGCCCAGCCTGAGGCCGTTCCCTCTCCTCCTATCCCTGTTCCCTGGAGCACAGCCCGACCTGTCCCCTCCTGTCAGGGACTTGTGCAGAGCCACAAGGTCTCCCCTGAGCCTCCTCTTCTCCAGACTAAACCCTAAAAAATGACATGTTTAAACTCAGCTCTTCTGCCTGCACCTTATTGCACACCCTGCCCAGGACAAGTTCTACTTTGAGAACTTTTCCTCTCATCCCACAAATCCTTCCCTCGCCAGTGTTACCGCAAGTTTCGTCAGCTGGGCTGAGTCTCGTGGGGCTGCTGCTGTTTCCTGCCAGCTGTGCCAGTGTTTGCTCCTCCTGCTCTGCAGCACCTTGGGGAAGGTGGCTGGGCCTGCCCCCTGCTCCTCTCCTGGTGCTGCTGCCCTTGTTTACCTGAGCTAACAACTCCCCACAGGTGCGCAAGTACAAGAGCACCATCCTGGAGGACCTGGAGTCGGCGCTGGCCGAGCACGCCCCGGCCCCCCAGGAGGTGAACTCAGAGCTGCCCCCCCTCACCATCGATGGCATCCCCGTCTCCGTGGACAAAATGACCCAGGTGAGTGCACAGGTGACCCAGGTGAGCAGCCAGCCCTGGCACAGGCAGGGAACACGGGGATGTTTGGAATCTTGCAGTCACATCCTGTTGTTTTGTGTGGCTGCCTCTCCTGGGGATGGCTCTGATCTCTTCATTCCCCTGGGGCTGTAACAGCTCAGGTTGTGCTTGGAGGTGGAGCTTTGTTAGTGGTGCTGGTTCTCTCTGTGAAAAAACTGCTGCTAGGGAGAGCTCAGGCTGCTGGGAGCATTCCCTTTGCAGATGGTTTTGGTACTTCCCAGAAAGCAAGAACAGGGAAAATGTTTGTTCCATGCTTTGCCACAATCTTTAGGCACCAAGATTGGGAAGGCCACTCATGGACACCTTTCTGTGTCCTGTAGTTCATTCCCTCCTCCATTTCTTGCTGTGGATTGGAGCAGAGGGGAATTTGCTGTTCAACCCCAGATCAGACCCTGAGTGAGATATTTTTATTGGAGCTTTGTTAGTGGTGCTGATTCTCTCTGTGAAAAAAACACCTGCTGCTGAGGAGAGCTCAGGCTTTTGGGAGCATTCCCTTTGGAGCTGGTTTTGGCACCTCCCAGAAAGCAAGAACAGGGAAAATTTCCCTGTTTGTTCCATTCTTTGCCACAATCTTTAGGCACCAAGGTTGGGAAGGTCACTTGTGGACACCTTTCTGTGTCCTGTAGTTCATTCCCTCCTCTGTTTCTTGCTGTGGATTGGAGCAGAGGGCAGTTTGCCAAAGGTTTAACCCCAGATCAGAACCTGAGTGAGATATTTTTGTTGGAGCTTTGTTAGTGGTGCTGTTTTTCTTTGTGACAAAAAACTGCTGGTGAGGAGAGCTCAGGCTGCTGGGAGCATTCCCTTTGGAGCTGGTTTTGGTACCTCAGAAAGTGGGAACAGAGAAAATTTCCCTGTTTGTTCCATTCTTTGCCACAGTCTTTAGGCGCCAAGGTTGGGAAGGCCACTCATGGACACCTTTCTGTGTCCTGTAGCTCATTCCCTCCTCTGTTTTTTGCTGTGGACTGGAGCAGAGGGGAGTTTAACCCCAGATCAGACCCTGAGTGAGATATTTTTGTTGGAGACAGGAAATTATGTGCCCTGGGCATGTGGGAGATTCCCTTTCTCTCCAGGTCCAGCCTGACCTCCCTGCTGGGAGAAAGTGCAGGGGACTCCCAGGGAAGCTTTACCTGGAGGGAAATCTCCTTCCCAAGGATGCAGGACCTGAATTCAGGCAGGTGTGTCCTGCAGGAGGCTCTGGTGCACCCAGCCTGAGGCACCACGACAAGTTTTAAATGCTGAAAGGCAATTTTTCCCAAGGAGTAGCAAGATGGAAAGGGCAGCACACAAAGAGGCCAGAGCAGGGCAAAGATGTGCAGATTTTTCTGTGCTCTGCAGAGGTCACACCCTGCTCAAAGCACCATTTCCATTTCTTAGTGGAATCAGACAAGCTCACACTGATAATAAAATTTCATTGAGCTTACTGTGCTTTGGCTGGTACAGATCATTTCCCCAGTCCCCGACAAAGAAGACAAAAATGATTTCTTGGATTTTAACCTCCTGTGAAAGGTGGCACTGCAGGAGCTGCTCATGGCAGCTTTTGCTGTGTTCCAGGAGCAGTTCCCCATGGAAATGTTTTTCTCCTCGTGGTCCTGCAGGGCCTTTGCTCAGGCAGCCCAAGGTGCTGATGTAGAACCTCTTCTTTCAAATCCCCTCCTGCTGCTCTATGGTAGAAAAACAAGGATCTTTTTAGGAATGGCTCTCATTGTTCCAGCACAGTGAGGTGGCTCAGAAGAGCTTTGTGGAAAGGTCTCTCCCGAGCTGGGCACAGAGGTGCCATCATTTATTGTGGGAATCTTGATTCCCAGAGCTTCCAGTGTAATTATTTGTATTTTCTAGTAAAAAGTCAGATTTTTTTGCAGCTAAGTTGCACAAAACCCTATGGAAAACTGGAACAAAAATAAATATGAATGTAATTAGGATGGCAGGGACTGGAAAAATGAGGCCTCTGCTTTCAGCAGGTGCCAGCAGGCAGGTGTAGAGATGTCATCAATGGGGAGGTGAAAATAATTCTCCTTTTAATTGCTCTGCTTCTTCAGTGGTCTGGAGGGAAATAAAGCCTTTATTTGCCTGGGCAAAGATGCCTCCAGCCTTGGGAATGGAGAGTATCACCCACCTGGGTTGGGCAGGAAAACCTGTGTTGCAGTGGGGTTTTCAGCCTTCACAGAGGGGGATCTTGGTGCTTTCTGGACTTTGGTGACAGCTGAGTTTGCCCCTCAGCTTGTTCTCAGCTGCTCGTTGATGTGATTGAGGAGTAAAATTGGGTAATGTGAGCTTAACCAAGCTGAGCTCAGTGCTTCAGTCAGCTCTCACTGTTTTATGAACAGGTGATTTGTCCTTTAAGCTGATTTTTTATGCCCCTGTGATTTATAACTTCCTTGTAGGAGGCAGTAAAAGCTTTTCTGGCTCCTACAAGCCAGAAAAAAATAAAGTTTTTCAAGGATCATCATGGTGCCTGTTCACCTCCTGAGAGCAGCATTCCTGCTCTCCCAGCTGGAGCATCCCTGGCAGAGAATCCTTGCTGGAATCAGCTCCTGTGCAGCTGAGCAAGAGCCTGGGTGGTTTTATGGTTTAACAGCTCTGGGAGTGCAGCAGGGATGGATTCAGGGCTGAGTGTTCCCTTCCAGCCCTGGGAGTGCAACAGGGATGGATTCAGGGCTGAGTGTTCCCTTCCAGCTCTGGGAGTGCAGCAGGGATGGATTCAGGGCTGAGTGTTCCCTTCCAGCTCTGGGAGTGCAGCAGGGATGGATTCAGGGCTGAGTGTTCCCTTCCAGCCCAGGGAGGTGCAGCAGGGATGGATTCAGGGCTGAGTGTTCCCTTCCAGCTCTGGGAGTGCAGCAGGGATGGATTCAGGGCTGAGTGTTCCCTTTGAGCTCTGGGAGTGCAGCAGGGATGGATTCAGGGCTGAGTGTTCCCTTTGAGCTCTGGGAGTGCAGCAGGGATGGATTCAGGGCTGAGTGTTCCCTTCCAGCTCTGGGAGTGCAGCAGGGATGGATTCAGGGCTGAGTGTTCCCTTCCAGCCCTGGGAGGTGCAGCAGGGATGGATTCAGGGCTGGGTGTTCCCTTCCAGCTCTGGGCAGTGCAGCAGGGATGGATTCAGGGCTGAGTGTTCCTTTCCAGCTCTGGGCAGTGCAGCAGGGATGGATTCAGGGCTGAGTGTTCCCTTCCAGCCCTGGGAGTGCAGCAGGGATGGATTCAGGGCTGAGTGTTCCCTTCCAGCTCTGGGAGTGCAGCAGGGATGGATTCAGGGCTGAGTGTTCCCTTTGAGCTCTGGGCAGTGCAGCAGGGATGGATTCAGGGCTGAGTGTTCCCTTCCAGCTCTGGGAGTGCAGCAGGGATGGATTCAGGGCTGAGTGTTCCCTGCCAGCTCTGGGAGTGCAGCAGGGATGGATTCAGGGCTGAGTGTTCCTTTCCAGCTCTGGGAGTGCAGCAGGGATGGATTCAGGGCTGAGTGTTCCCTTCCAGCCCTGGGAGGTGCAGCAGGGATGGATTCAGGGCTGAGTGTTCCCTTTGAGCTCTGGGCAGTGCAGCAGGGATGGATTCAGGGCTGAGTGTTCCCTTTGAGCTCTGGGAGTGCAGCAGGGATGGATTCAGGGCTGAGTGTTCCCTTCCAGCTCTGGGAGTGCAGCAGGGATGGATTCAGGGCTGAGTGTTCCCTTTGAGCTCTGGGAGTGCAGCAGGGATGGATTCAGGGCTGAGTGTTCCCTTTGAGCTCTGGGAGTGCAGCAGGGATGGATTCAGGGCTGAGTGTTCCCTTCCAGCCCAGGGAGGTGCAGCAGGGATGGATTCAGGGCTGAGTGTTCCCTTTGAGCTCTGGGAGTGCAGCAGGGATGGATTCAGGGCTGAGTGTTCCCTTCCAGCCCTGGGAGTGCAGCAGGGATGGATTCAGGGCTGAGTGTTCCCTTTGAGCTCTGGGAGTGCAGCAGGGATGGATTCAGGGCTGAGTGTTCCCTTTGAGCTCTGGGAGTGCAGCAGGGATGGATTCAGGGCTGAGTGTTCCCTGCCAGCCCAGGGAGGTGCAGCAGGGATGGATTCAGGGCTGAGTGTTCCCTTCCAGCCCTGGTGCAATTCCTGTTTTCCCTCTCCCACTTCCAGGGTGGTCCTGCATGGCCTCGACTTTGCCTTTCCCAGAGATCCCGAGGCTGAGCTGTGGGGATGTGTACAAAATTCCAGCCACAGCTTTTGCTCTGTTCTAGAACCCACTTTCCTTGGTGTTTCCAGCTCTGGAGAGCAGCTGGAATACAGCTGGCTGTGCTTTGGGCTGTTGAATTTGGGATTGGGATAGCTCAGTACCATTAATTCCTGAATTTAACATTAAAAGTGAAAACACTGAGCCTGTGTGAAAGGGTGGCTAAGAAACATTTCTCACAGTTTCTCCCAAATCCTCCATCCTGGGGGCTGCCTGAGCCCTTTCCAAGGGCACAAACTGGTGTTTTTTCAGCAGAGGTTTGATTTTTGGGTGTTTCCTGGGTGGTGCCAGCAGAACATGGCTCCTGCAGGTGAATGTTCCCCCCCTGCCCCAGGGGTGTGGGGGACAGTACCTGTGGCAGAGCGTGGCCTCGTTAGGGCACTAATTAGCCAAGTCCTCTCTCCTGACAGAGCTGCTGATTGTCTCCCCGTGGATTAAAGGCAAACCCTCCTAACAAGTACCTTGAGTGGCTTGAGCCCTGCACTGCCACGGAGCAGTAATTGGTGCAGCTGGAAACAAGGAGCTCTGCTGATGGTGGGGCAGGAAAGCAGCTTTGAACTGTTCCTGCACCAGTCCTAAATGCTGAACGTTATAAACTTTCTGTACTAAAAAACTCTGACCCCCCAAAAATCCTACATTTAACTTAAAGCCATAAACCAGAATTGTTAATAACACTAAAATTACAAGTGCATAGTTGATTAAAAGTGTGTAATATCACAAAGTAAAAACTTCACATTTAGAGTTTTAAAATATAATATATATATTATTTTACATATAATATATATTGCTTTAAATGTAATACGTATATTATTTAAAATATTATATATAACATATATTAAACAAAATAGAAGTATTAAAACAAAAACTAATCCTTCTTCTTCCTTGTTCTTCATAAGTTTAAATAGTATTTTATAATTAAACAAAAAAATTCCACATTACAAAGTTCAAATAATTAAGTTAAAAATAATTTAAGTATAATTTCTTAATTAAATAGTTAAACCTTAAAAACTTTTTATAAAAAAAGTTAACAATTTTGTAGCTTAATTGTAGACTATTATAAATTGAAATAATATATTATAAGTATATAAATTTATATAAATTTATAAATATTTAATATTTACAAATATTTATTTATTTTTTATTTATATGCTATTTATTTAATTATTTAATTTTTCAAAATATTTATATAATTTTAATATATTATATCATTGATATATATTTATAATATAAATTTTAAAATAACAAACATCTAAACCTAAACACAAAATACCATCTCTAACACTTCAATCCCAACCTTAACAAAAACAAAAAAAACCAAAACAAAACCAAAACAAAACAATAAAAAACAAAACAAAAAAAAAAAACCAAAAAAACACACCCAACAAAACAAAACAAAAAAAACCAACCCAAAAATCAACAGCAAATCCCAGAAACGCTGCTGCTGCCAGGTTTATTTGAATAAATTATTGGGCAGAGTTGCTGCTCAATATTAATTCTTGGGAGTGAACTCCCTGCCTTTTCCAGCTCCATTCTGGTTTTCCCTCCTTCCCCCAGCCCTGCTCGCTCAGCCCTGTTTATTGTAGAGTTCCTGAGGAACAAATGCTTTTCTCCCCTGGGCTATGAACAATGTATTTTTAAAGAAACTGCTCTCTGGAGGAATTATTTCTTCTCCCTTCACCAGGCTCCATCCAGGGAACCTGGAGCATGTCAGGGTTGGGTGTTGGCCCTGCAGTGGAAGGTGGATCATGGACAGGCTGGGAAAAAGGTGCTTTAGGGCATGTTCCATGTGGAAGGTGGAAAAGACAGCTGGAAATGAGTTCATGGACATCATGGACAGCTTGGAGCCCATGGATGCAGCATTCCAGACTGTGCCCAGAGAGGGGAACAGAGCTGGAGCACAGGGAGAGGGTCTGGAGAACTTCTGAGGCAGCTGGGAAGGGTCTGGAGAACTTCTCAGGGAGCTGGGAAGGGTCTGGAGAACCAGGAGGGGCTGGGGGAGCTGAGAAGGGCCTGGAGCCCCAGCAGGGCTGGGGGAGCTGGGCAGGGGCTGACCCTGCAGCAAAGGAGGCTCAGGGGCCCTGGTGGCTCTGCACAAGTCCCTGCCAGGAGGGCACAGCCGGGGAACAGGGACAGGAGCAGAGGGAACGGCCTCAGGCTGGGCCAGGGCAGCTCAGGGTGGATTTTAGGGACAATTCCTTCATGGAAAAGGTGATCAGGCACTGGCACAGCTGCCCAGGGCAGGGGTGCAGTCCCCATTCCTGGAGGGATTTCAAAACCCTGTGGATGTGGCACTTGGGGACATGGTCAGTGGTGGCCTTAACAGTGCTGGAGAACTTTAAGGTCTTTTCCAACCAAAATGACTCCATGGTCTATGAAATATTTTACTCTAAAAGCTCTGAAGTGATGCAAGGTGCTGCTCCTAACTGCAGGTTTTGAACTCTGAATGTGATTTCCTCTAATATAAGGAGAGCTCTCTCCTTCCTGCTCTGCTCTGCAGCTGAACCAGCCTTTTCCTGGTGCTCCAAGGAGTCCCTGGTACAAAACCAATCTTGTCACAAAACCCTGTGTGAGTTTTTCATTTATTTTGGCAGGACGGGGCTGGAGATGTGTGAGATTTGTGGTTTCCACATTTCAGCGGTCACTGAAGCTCCATCCCCTCACAGCATCTCTGTAAATGATACATCAGCTCATGCCTGAGCTCCTGCCTCTGTAGGGACATTCATTATGGGGTTTTTCATAGGTTACTGTGATTTTTTTGTTTTTTTCTTCCATTTCAGGTTGGCTCATTCTCTTCCTGGTAGTGTTTGAGTTGTGAAGTGTCAATACAATGGCTGTGCCTTGGTGTTGTAATTTTGTATTTGCTGATGGAATTTTGTTTCTTCCCTTCCACCTGCTGCCAAGCTGAGTCCTGGGAGAAGATGGCAAAATATTGTCCACCTTCCTTGGGCTTTCAGGCCTCTTCCAGCTGATGGCTCCAACAGGCTGGAATTTGAGCCCAGTAATTCTGCACAACACCCCTCAAAACCACCCGAGATGTGAATTCCTAAACACCTCCCAACCTTTTCTTTGTTCCAGGCACAGCTGAGAGCCTTCATCCCCGAGATGCTGAAGTACTCCACGGGTCGTGGGAAGCCAGGCTGGGGCAAGGAGAGCTGCAAGCCCATCTGGTGGCCCGAGGACATCCCCTGGGCCAACGTCCGCAGCGACGTCCGCACCGAGGAGCAGAAGCAGCGTGTGGGTGTCTCCCTGTCTGCCTCCAAACGGAGCTCAGGGGCTGCAGGATGGGTTTTGGGGGTGGTTTATGCCTTGAGGGACAGAAGAAGAAAGGGTTTGTGTCAAGGCCTCCTGAAGGAGGGAAGGGATGCTGGCCTGTTCAGAGCAGCAGGGAGCTTTGTGCTTAAAGGAAGGAGTTGTGGATGTGCAGTGAAGCCAGGGAAAATGAGAGAACTGGGTGAAAAAGTAAAGTTCCTACCAACCTGTCACAGAGATAATCAAAGGAAGTCACCGTGGTGGGAGGCAGCCGGACCTGTGCAGGCTGGTTCAGGGCTGGCTGGAAATGGTGCTGTGGCAGCATTTTGGTGCTTTCCCAAATCACCGTGGTTTTCTACTTGGTGTCACAGAATGGTTGGGGTTGCAAGGACCCTTTTAAAGGAGTCTGAGCAGGGACATCTTCACTGGATCAGGAGGCTCTCCAGGGTGATTCCTTGTGGGAAGGAGGGGATGAGCAGAGGGAGATTAAATATTGGGGTTGTTTGTGAATCATTACAAAGCCCAGTGAGGACACAGTGCAAGCCCCAGCTCTGAGCCTGCTCAGAGCCCTTCCCTGGGCTGACTGTCCCTGTCCCTGCTGCTGGCAGGTGTCCTGGACCCAGGCCCTGCGCACCATCGTCAAGAACTGCTACAAGCAGCACGGGCGCGAGGACCTGCTCTACGCCTTCGAGGACCAGCAGACGCCGCAGACCACGACCACGCACAGCATCGCCCACCTGGTGCCCTCCCAGACCGTGGTGCAAACCTTCAGCAACCCCGACGGCACCGTGTCCCTTATCCAGGTGAGAGCAGCCCCCGGCTTCTCCATCCCAGCACCATTTAAACCACCACTTTCAGGGCTTCTGCTGCTCAGAGTGACCCCAAGATACGCTAGAAAATCTCTTTTCCCAGCCCGGAGGTCAGAGAAGGAGTCAGGGCTCTGCAGTTCTCATTCTCAATGTTTTTTATTATTTCTTATCTATAACGTTCTCTCTCTGGCCTGCTGAGGTCTGTCCAGCAGGTCATACAGAGGCACTCTGCCTGCCCCCAGGGAGGTCTTATCTTTTTATACTAAAACCTTGTACAATTTTACCATAACTTCCCAATACCTATCACCTATGTTGGACAGTGAGCTTCTACTCTAAACCAATCCAAAAGTGCCAACATCACCCAGAAAATGGAGGCCAAGAAGAAGGAGAAAGGACAGGGCACACCCAAATTCCTCCATCTTGGCACCCCAAGCCCCCATTCTAAAAATCTCAAAAATCTATTTTTCACCCTGTGTTAAATTCACTGTCATTCTACTTAAACTTTCGTAGCTTGTAAATCCTCATATAAGGTTGGTAATTTTCTTCCATGGGTCAAGATCAAAGGCACAGGGGTCTTGGGCTCTGTGCCAAGGTCTCTGAGCCTCCCTGGCAGGGGCTTGAGCCCTCCAGGGCAGCCAGAGGAATTTCCTGGGTTCCAGCATCGCAAGATGGTTTAAGGAAGCTCAGGAGCCAAACTTGCCCTTCAGGAATTTCATCCTTATCATGTCTTACCCCACAACAAAGATCCATCCTCATCCTCTCTCTTCCCAACTCCCACCTTTGGTGTCCAGTGCAAGGATTTCTGTGATGGGGTCAAAAAAATTCAGGGGTTTGACCTGAGTTTAGTGAAACTCCTTAGAACAAATCCAGTCCCTGGTGCCAGCGCACCACACCTGTGGTGGCAATGGGAGGAGAGGTGGTGGGACTGCCTTCCTTTAATGGTATGGAATGTAGTTTAATCAGCTACATTTCAGGTATTAAATATAATATATAATATAAATATATATAATATATAATATATAATATATAATATATAATATATAATATAAAATATATAATGTATAATATATCATATATATAATATATATTATATATTGTATAATTATATAATTATATATTATATATATTTATATTATATATATATCTATATATCTATATCTATTTCTCTCTCTCTCTATATATATAATATGTCTATATCTATATATTTATAAATACATATCTTTATATAGATCAGGTATATCTGTGCCCCAAATCTTCATCTGACACCTGAAGTGTATTATATTTATTACAAACACCAAATACATATATATATCAATATAAAATATATTTTAACATATATATATAAAATATATATCTATATCTAGATCAGGTATTTTTGTGCCCTAGGTCTTCATCTGACAATTGAAGTGTATTGTATTTATTACAAACACCAAATGCATATATATATGTTATATATAAAAAATATAGATATAGATAATATATATTTTAATATATATATCTATAGATATATAAAATATCTCTCTATCTATCTATCTATCTATCTATCTATCTATATCTATAGATCTAGATCTAGATCTAGATCTAGAGCAGGTATTTCTGTGCCCCAGGTCTTCATCTGCCACCTGAATTGTATTACATTTATTACAAACACCAAATGCATATTTGTCCGCATGGAATAAGGATTCCTCTCACACTGTTCTTAGCTCAGTGCTGCTCCTGTTTTCCCTGTTTTCCCTGTGTGGGAAGGCAGATTCTGGCAGCTCAGGGAGTAAAAAAAAAATAGTTTTTCTCTTTAAGCTTCCCACAATCTCCTCGTGGGAGTGAGATTTGAATCTCAGTTTCCCAGTGCCTCCACACCACCACTGGTGGTGGTTCCTAACCAGGCCCAGCACTTTGTCCCTCTTGAGCATCACGTTTTTAGTGAAGTCTCAGACATACTTGTCTCAGACATTGGCAGCTCAGGGAGTAAAAAAAAAATAGTTTTTCTCTTTAAGCTTCCCACAATCTCCTCGTGGGAGTGAGATTTGAATCTCAGTTTCCCAGTGCCTCCACACCACCACTGGTGGTGGTTCCTAACCAGGCCCAGCACTTTGTCCCTCTTGAGCATCACGTTTTTAGTGAAGTCTCAGACATACTTGTCTCAGACATAATGCAGATAAATCTGGGTGTATGAGTAGGGTTTTTTCCCCAAATGAAGCTTTTCAGTGGCTGTCAGAGTTTTCTGTTCCCCACCAAGGCCCAGCAGACTTGCCAGGCTGGTTCTCTTTGCTCACCTGTCCATACAATCTCCCTTTGACTGGAGTTCTTTCAGCTGCTGGACACCTGAGATCCCCTCGACTTCCTGGCATTTATATTTGATTCTGCTCAGAGACAAAGCTGCCCATCTCCCTGCCTTTGTCCTTTCCCAGCTGTTAAATGGGGAAAAGATCATTTCCAAGGGGGTATTGAGGAGGAGCTCATGTTTGCCAGGGTGCCTGGAGATGAGCCCCAGGGAATGGGGAGCAAGGAGGGTGTGCAGGGAATTCTGAGCCAGCGCAGGGTGGATGGGAGAAGGGAGGTGGCTCCACCATGCTCCACAGCTGCTCTTCCTGAGGCTGGCAGACTGCTGGGGCCTTCATGGACACAGGGACAGCACAAGGGATGTGCAAAACTTGGTTCCAGTCTGGATTAATGACTTGGTTCCATGGGTTAGTGTGGCTCCAGCTTGGGATTTCCTCCCCCCTGGGGACAGCTCTGTGTTTTCTGTGAGCTCTGCAATTACAATTAGTCACAGGATCATGGACTTTGAGGGGGTTGGAATGGCCCTTAAAGATCCTGTCACTGCCATGGCAGGGACACCTTGCACCATCCCAGGCTGTGATGGTGTTCACAGGGGTCCCAGGATGAAGGAAGAGATGAGGATCTGACTCCATCTTTAGAAGGCTGATTTATTATTTTATTATATATATGATATTAAAACTATACTAAAAGAATAGAAGAAAGGATTTCATCAGAAGGCTAGCTAAGAATAGAAAAGGAAAGAATTAATACAAAGGCTTGTGTCTTGGACAGAGAGTCTGAGCCAGCTGGGCTGTGATTGGCCATTAATTAGAAACAACCACATGAGCCCAATCCCAGATGCACCTGTTGCATTCCACAGCAGCAGATAACCATTGTTTACATTTTGTTCCTGAGGCCTCTGAGCTTCTCAAGAGAAAAAAATCTTAAAGAAAGGATTTTTCAGCAAATGTGTCTGTGACACCAGGCTGCTCCAAGCCCTGTCCAGCCTGGCCTTGGACACTCCCAGGGATGGGACAGCCACAAGCTCCCTGCACCACGCTGACAGTAAATTCCTTTATTGTTTCAATCTGAGAGCGTGTGAGACCCCTTTCCCTGAGAGCTGTGGGCACTTCCTGCACTAACAGATGCCCTGTTTTGTCCCCCACAGGTTGGCACGGGGGCCACGGTGGCCACGCTGGCCGACGCCTCCGAGCTGCCCACCACGGTCACCGTGGCACAGGTCAATTATTCTGCGGTGGCTGACGGAGAGGTGAGAGCTGCTCCTGCTGGGGCACTGCCTGGGCTTCCAGAAACATCTCTGGGGGCCCAGCAAACACCAGCCAGCACCAGCCTGGCACATCAGGGCTGGCACACAACACAACAGGAGATGGGGTTTGATACAGACAGGGCTGAATTGCTATTGTGGCTCAGGACTCTGCAAACACAATTATTTTATATTTATATTTATATTTATATTTATATTTATATTTATATTTACATCCACAAATAATTTATATTTACATTTATAAAAAGTAGATTTATATTTAATGATATAGAATATATTATATATATTATATAGATAGAAAATAAAAAATTATATATATTATATACACAACATTATATATTATATATTATATTATATATATAATTGTGTATATATAATTTCAGCTTAGGACTCTGCAAAGGCAATTATAGATATAATATATAATATAATGTATAATTTATAAAATATTATATAGTATATTTATATATAATTGTATATATTATATTATATTATATTATATTATATTATATTATATTATATTATATTTTTTTGTGTTTGCACAGTCCTGAAACAAAATTGTACATATAAACAATTATGTATATACTTATATATAATGCAATATGATATAATATCTATATAATTATATAAAATATAATATTATGTGTATAATTATATATATATTATATATATAATTGTGTTTGCAGAATCCTGAGCCAAAATAACAATTCAGCACGTTCTGTATAAAGAATATAAAAGACATTATAAATAGAAATTATAAATATAAATTATATCTTATACATATATGTATGTATATAATTCCACTATTATCATGGAATTCTTAGGTCTGAATTTTGAGGGATTTTTTATATATATACTTCCTATAGATTCTTTATTTACAGGTTTTTTGGCGTTTCCATGCCTAAATCTGAGCACTCAAACTTGCAAATATTTATTTTTCCCTTTTTTTAGAATGAAATAATGTATTAAAAAATACAATTCTTTCTCTGGGTTAAAGAAACATTCCCTTAAAATTATAGAGATCTTTTTTTTGGCCTTTTGGCTTCACAGCCCACCTTTAAATGAGGCTGTGGGTCCCTTTGTGTCCCTTTGTGTCCCCGTGCTGTGCCCAGCTGGGCTGTCACGGCGAGAGGTGGCAGCACAGAACAGCTTTGCTGGCCACAAACCCTGTTCCCATCCCAGCCCCGACTGGAGCAGCCTGGAGTCACCTTGAGGCACTTTGCAGCTGCTCTGGGGTTTTCAGAATCCCAAAGAGCTGCAGGAGATCTTTTAAAGGCACCAATAAGGCTGAGTGGGGCTCCTTGTCCTGGATCCGGATGGGTTTAATTTCCTTTTACACCCTTTTAGCTGTACAATCTCAGCAGCTCAACCTTGATTGAGACAGTCTCAGCTTCTTTTTATTCTTTCCTTCCCCCATCCCTCTTCTGGAACTCCTTGGGCACCTTTGTAGGGCATCACTGGGATCTCCTCACCCACAATTTCAGGCTCTCCCTCCCTCCCTCCCTCCCTGTCCATCCTTTGCTGGGATTACCCTTTGCCCAAAGGCAGCAAAATTTCCTCATGCAAAATTTTACCTTGAGCCTCAGATCTCCTCTGCTTTTATGGATTTTTTAACCATCTCCATCCCAACAAAGTGAGGTGTTTTCCTCACCCCCTACAGCATTTTTATTTGTGTCTCAGAAGTTGGGGAGTGTCCTAAAATGTTTATGGGGATGGGAGGTGAAGGGAGATCTCCACCTTGAAAAGCACCCAGTAGGATTTGTCAGCAGATCCTCTGCTTGTTTGGCCCAAAGTATGTTTTGAGTTCTCATCCTGGTGGATTTTGTGGCCATATAATCATTATCTCAGCAGCTGAGAAGCTCCACATGAAAATATGGGGGAAAATGAGCAGCTGGGTGAACTTCAGGTAATAGGAAAATTATCAATGGGAATGTCTAGAGTTGGGGAATTTTAAATAGCTGGGATAAATGAACATTTCCAGCCACCATCATCCTTTATTGAGCAGTATGGCTCAATCCCATCTGCGGTCACAGGTGCTGCCCAGATAAATCCTGGATGGGAACATGGACCAATCCCCAAAAAGTGCAAACAGCAACAGGGAGGAAAACACAGCTCATTTCCCTGAGGGATGTGGTCTGTGCTGGGGCTCCAGCAGTGCAGAAACACAGAATTCCAGAGCAGCTGGGGTTGGAAGGGACCTTTGGGGATCATCCAGTGCAAGGCAGGGTCACCCAGAGCAGGTGACACTGGGACACGTCCAGGTGCCTTTGGGATGTCTCCAGACAGAGACTCCACAGCTTCCCTGGGCAGCTGCTCCAGAGCTCTGCCACTCTCCATGGAAGGAAGGAATGAAGCAAGTTCTTCTTCATGGTTAGGTGGAGCTTGTGTTTTAATTGATGGCCATTTATCACAGCTAATTAATGAACATCCCAGGCTGGCAGGCAGTGATCCAGGTACAACAACAACACCACTGCCCTGTTTTGTTGGCTGGACAAGAGGGATTTGGAAAGGCTGGGAACACAAACCCTGAGGGAGCTGGGGGTGCTCAGCCTGCAGGAAAGGAGGCTCAGGGTGCCCCCAGCACTCTCACAGCTCCTGGAAGGTGCCTGTGCCCAGCTGCCCTTGGGCTCTGTCTCCAGCAGCGCTGGCACAGCCAGAGCACACGGCCTGAGCTGTGCCAAGGGAAATGCAGCTTGGAGAGCAGCAAAAAGCTTTTCCAGCAAGGGGGAGAAAGTTCTGCAATGGCTGCCCGGGGAGGGGGTGCAGTCACCATCCCTGGGTGTGTTTAACCAGCCTGGAGGTGGCACTGGGTGCCAGGGGCTGGGCTGGGCTCTTGAAGGGCTCTCCCAACCCGGTCATTCTGTGAATTCTGTGATTTCTGGGTTTTTTGAGGACCTTTCTGGATCTTTAAGCACTGTGAGCCTCATGGCTGATGCAGGGCTGCAGTGCCCAGCCCCATCCCAGCCTCCCTCCCTTTCCCCGCTCTCAGAGCCGGGCACCGCAGGACTCTGCAAAAACCAATCCATTGATCTTTTGGGAATCAGCCGCCCCTGGAGGGGTTCTCCTGATCCCACAGGCTGTGCTGTGTCCCTGCAGGTGGAGCAGAACTGGGCCACGCTGCAGGGAGGGGAGATGACCATCCAGACGACGCAGGCCTCGGAGGCCACGCAGGCGGTGGCATCGCTGGCCGAGGCGGCGGTGGCGGCGTCGCAGGAGATGCAGCAGGGAGCCACCGTCACCATGGCACTTAACAGGTACCTGGGGAGGGCACAGCTGCCTCAGCCTCAGCCTGGCACCTCCTGCCTGGGTTTCCTTCTGATGGGGCACAGTTCATTCTGTTCAGTCCTGAGAGAGGCTTTTCCTCAGTGGATTCACGCGCGGGTGGTGTGTGACAGCTCCTGATTCCTGCTCTGGTCAGAATCAGAATTTCCTCCATAGATCACTGATTTTGGGTTTTTTCTCCCCAATCTTTCTGCAGTAGAAGCTGAGGGAGCTGCAGTGGTTATTAGGGTGTTTGGCTGCACTCAGGTTAGCAAGATCTGAGGTGTAGCTCCACAGGTCCATCCAGCAGGATGAAATATCTTTGCTCAGCTCTGCTGAGCTGCTTAAACTCATCCTGCCGTTCCTAAAACCTGGAAATGGCTGTGGCCATTTTCCATTTATCCCGTTTCCCATTTATCCCATTTCCCTTATCCCATTCCTGAGGGATAGGAAATCACAGCACAGCAGTGAAGGAGGTTTCCCACTGTTGAGGTGTGGAAAAGAATTTCCCTCACCCAAACCAGGATCCTGGTTAGAGGCTGTTGGCTGAGCAGTCAGGGGATGGGACAGGGCACCAGACCACACTGCTGGTAGCTGGAATAAAGCTCCAGGACCTTGTTCCATCCAGAAATTGCTGAAGGAATCACTTTGATCCCTGTTTGCTCCCAAATCTCTGTTGGAACTGAATCCCAAACACATCTAGAACTGTTTCTGCTCTTTATGATGCAGATTTGGATCCTTCAGATATTTCTTGTCTGCTACATGAGGCTGCTCAAATAGGCTTGTTTTACTAATATTTCCCTGTAAAATTCCCTTTTAAAACCAAATGATCTTTTCAGGACACTGGAGTTAGAGGAACAAGCCCCATACCCCCAGATCCAACTTGCAGGATTTTATCCTGCACATTTCCAGGATTCCAGATTTCCCTACATCGATTATTTTTAAGTGGGAAGAGACACAGAGGGGCTGCTGAGAACTGAAAATCCACCCTGAGTGCATGCAGTAGGAAAGTGTTTGGCATCTAAGCAGGAAATGAGGGAAGAGAAGGAAAAATATGGGGAAATAGTTGGAAAATATTTGAGTCAATTGGTGGAGCAGAGAATGAGCAGAGGGAGAGCATCCATGGGGAAGCTCAAGGAAATCCATCATTTTTTTTGCTTAATTCAGGTAGGAATTGGTAGGAAGTTTGACTTCAGGAATGTTTTACCACTGCTGAGCAGATATTGTCAAAATAAGTTGAATATTAGGAATTGTCAGGAAAGGCATTAAGGGCAAGCCAGGGTTAGGAATAACTGATGGTGCATTCACACCTTGGACAGTGTGGGAAGTGCTCACCACTCAAATAGGAAAGAGTGAGCAAACCCCAGGAATGATCCATGCCACAGTGGGCTGTGGGAAGGAGATTTCCCACTGGAAATGTGGGAAACCATGAGGAAAACAATGAAGGAAAAGTTTTATTTTCTGTGTCTCACAATACCAGACTAAAGGTTTGCCCAGCCAGGAGTTTTTGAAGCACCATAATGCAATTTTCCCTTCTAATTAAATGTGGAACTCTTTGCTCCAAGATGCTGGGGAAACAAAAAGTGTAGATGGGTTTCAGAGGGGATTAGAGACAGATCAGAGCTGATGGTCCAGCTGCAGACTCTGAGGAGCTGGGAGGGTGCAGGAGGGGAAGGATTGGGCACATCCCTTCCTAAATATCCCATCAGGGCTGCTGTGAGATAGCACAGAACAGCTTTGCTGGCCACAAACCCTGCTCCCATCTCAGCATCACTCCCATCTGAGTGAAACAGCCTGGGGTGACCTTGGGTGGGAAATGAATTTGGAGAGAATTCTTAAAGTTTGACGGAAGCCTCACACGGGGTGTGTGTGTGTTTGTATGTAAACCTTGAGATGAGAAATGCTGAGTTAGAAATGCTATGGAATAGGATAAATATTGTTAGGAGAGAAATGGAATTAAAAACAAGTTTTAAAAGATGGTTTTGTAAAGAAGACTAGGTATTTTATAAAAATATAACTATGAAAAGTGTATTGTAGTAAGATCTAGGAGAAGTAACTTTAGATGATTAGCTTTAAAGCATTTACAGTATGGTGTAGTAAAAGCTGATAGGCTAAGAAACACCTATAATGTATTGTAATTAAAAAATGGTTAATTTCTGATAGTAATAGTGTAAATTATAATATCTGTATTGTCTCACGCACAAAACCACCCCATATATACTACTACTACTACTACTATTATTATTATTATTATTATTATTACTATTACTATTACTATTATTATTGCTATTATTATTACTATTATTATTATTATTTTATATATATAATTAAAACATCTGTGTTGCCTCACCACAAAACCACCCCATCTCTGGGTCAAAAAAAGGCTTAATCCAACAACCTTGAAGCACTTTGCAGCTGCTTTGGGGTTCACAAGAGTCAGTTTTATCTCCTGAGAGCTGCAGGAAATCTTCCAAAGGCACCAATAAGGCTGGATGGGGCTCACTGGGGTTAGGGAAGGTGTCCCTGTCCTGGATCTGGATGGGTTTAAGTTCCTTTTACGCCATTTTAGCTGTAGAATCTCAGCAGCCCAACCTTGGTGGAGACAGTCCCTTTTCCTTTTTTCCTTACCCCATCCCTGTTCTGAAACCCCTTGAGCAGCTTTGCAGGGCTTTTGGGCCTGGCTTCATCAAAAGAAGAAATTTAAGAATGTCTTCATCATGTCAAGAAATTTAACAGCACTCTGCTGGAAAATAATTGTCATTAAAAAGAATTATTGAGCCACCTGGCTGGGGAGGAGCTGAAGCCAGAGCTGGTGATGCTGCTGAGGTGAAGGGGCAGAACCAGGGAGAGCTCTGAGATCTGCAGAGCCCCAGGATGTGCCAGTGCCAAAGTCTGATACCTGAATGCAGAGGCAGGAAGGAGCCACACAGAATTGTCCCAGAGTTTTATCCAAGTCCCAGGAGAAAGGGAGAACACAGGGCTGTTCTAAGAGACCTGAAAAAATCCACCAGAGGCAGCTCCTTCCCATCCCTTCCTCCTGCAGTGCTGATTTCCTGCTGTGCATCACTTCCCCCAGGCCAGATAGGAATCCCGGTGCTCTGGGCTGCGCTCCTGGCGTCTGTTTGCTGGTTAAATGGAGTTTATTTTATTTCATTTGTTCCTCTGCTGTTCTAACCCTTGTCTCCCCCTGCAGTGAAGCCGCTGCCCACGCCGTAGCCACGCTGGCCGAGGCCACCCTTCAGGGAGGGGGACAGATTGTCCTGTCTGGGGAAACTGCAGCAGCAGTGGGAGCGCTCACAGGAGTCCAGGATGCCAATGGTAAGGCCTCTGCAAAGGGTTTGGTTTGGCTTTTTTTATTTGGGCTCTTAAAAATGCCCTTTTCCTCTCTTTTTACTGAAATGGCACGGTTTGGGTGGTAAAATACTCTTCCCTGGCTCAGGGGGTCACTGACCTGTTGTGAGTTTTAATCTCAGGGTGGAATGGGAGCATTAACTCCTTCTTTGCTCCCATGGTGCTGGTGGTTCTGATCTTTCCCTCCTCTGCCAGCTGGCTCTACATCCTTAGGGTTTTTTTGGGAAAACTGCTCTGTGATGTGTGTCTGTGCCCAGCAGGGGAAGGACCAGCCTTGATCAATTAACACAATTAGTTGGTGCCATAATAAACTCATCTCCAGAACTCTTAAACCAACATTTTATTACTTATTTCCTGCCCTTCCTCAAGGCTTTTTTTCTGTACCTGATGGCTGTTCCTGAGTCAGCCTCAGGTCGTTTTCCTCTTGCTTCATTTTCCATCTTCCCACCACAGTCGATCTCTTGATTCCAGGGATTCTCTGTAGCATTTCTCACCTGTTCTGTGCCTTCTGCCAAGTCTGGTGACTTTTGCAGCTCTGTAAACTAGAACCAAAACTGTAAATCTATAAAATCCAGTTCAAGAGATGAGTGGAATATGAAAATGTGCCTCGTTGGGGCTCATCGACTGCCTTCAGTTGTCCTGTGCTTCTCCCTGAGCCTGGAGGTGTTTAAGGAACACCAGGACGTGGCACTGAATGCCTTGGTGTTGGGTCATAGGTTGGATTCAGTGATCCCAGAGGTCTTTTCCAGCCTGACTCTGGGATAATTTCCAAGCTCAGACTGGTTGGTATGGAATTACCCAAGAAAAAACCCACTGGTTGTTTGGGTTAGGTGGAAGGAGGTGTGTCAAAATCAGCTGGAAAAGGGCACAAAGGGTGAAGTTGTAAGAAACCTCACCTCGAGGGTGAGGCTGTTTGGACAGGAATTGTCAAAGAGGGGCCAAGCACGTGTGGCTGGGTGGCAGAACTGTCACTCTGCATGAAAGCAGAAACCTGCTCAGGTGAGAGCTGCCTTCCATCAGGATCCTCATCCAGCCAGGAGCGCGCTCCGTGTGAAACATCGGTGCTCAGTTTGCAGCAGAGGAGGGGAGAGGAATTTCACTCGGAGCTGGTTTGGTTCCCTTGCTGTGGAGTCAGCCAGCCTGAAGAGGGAGCAGAAATGAAGGGAAATCGCTGTCCCCGGAGCTGGGAGTGCATCTGGCACCGAGGGAAGAGCAGGATTGTGTTTATTGTGCCGGCAGCCTGGCGTGAGGGCGATAAGTGCTGTGTGTTTATCAGAGGCAGGATCTGACCCTGGATGCTCAAAAGCAGCAACTAATCAGATTTGGAAAAGCAGATCCGCACCCCTGGCTCCTTCTGCTCCGCTTCCAAAATGCTTTCACAGTCTGGATTCCTCTGGATGCTTCCCCTCTAACTCCCTTTCTTTTCTCCACACCCTCCCTGAGTCACTCCACCTCACTCTCCCAGCATTGACATCATCTCAATAGAGGCTGGGCTTTTTTTTTTTTCCTTTTTTTTTCTCCTATTTTTTTCCCTAGCAGCCGAGTTGGAAATCAGATGGGATTTAGAGTGCATTAAGAGGAGAGGCTGCAGCATTTTCCTGTGAGCACAACCTCGCCCACAGCCCCTCGCCTGCTCTCCGCTCTCCTTCGATTTGCTCTAATCTCCGGTGGTATTAAGGGGAAGGGCTTTGGAGTCCTTGGAAGCTCCATGCTGCTGCCTCCTTACGTAACCAGCTAATAGATCTCCCTCAGGGATGGAGGAGATGCTGGTATCCATTGCTGCTGTCTCTGTCTGGGGAGGCAGAGCAGATGGATTCACTGCTGGCAGGGTTTATCTCCGTAGCCGGGGTGGGAGTGGGAGCATCCTCCTGGATGGACACCATTTGATGGATGCAGCAGGGAAAATCCCCTCTGTGCCCTTCTGTCCAGAGGAGGTGGAATTGGGAGTGATTTGGGGGAAAATGCCACAGCCAGAGTGGTCCTAACCAGCAAATTTCCCCTTTGCTGTTGCTTGCAAGGTCTTAATTTGCTGATATTCCCAATAAATGCTTCTCTCTGGGAATGCTCTGATCCTCCTGCAGGACTTTTCTGAGGAAAAAACCTATCTGGAAGGGTAGGATAGAAATTTATCTCCATCTTATTGATAAGGCAAAGGAGATAGTTTGACACCTCCCCATCCCTGGGAGTGTCCAAGGTCGGGTTGGGCAGGTTTGGAAAGACCTGGGATAGTGGAAGGTGTCCCCATGGCAGGAACGAGGTGATCTTTAACTCACTTCCAACCCAAACCATTCTGTGATTTCTGTGAAAATTTCTGGAGGGTCAGGCAAGGTGTTTCATTCCTGATTTTAGCCATTTACTGTAATTCCTCTCTTTTTAAATTTTTTTTTTCATTTCTCTCTCGCTATGGCATTTTCCCCATCCCTTCTCTGGAATTATCTGAATAATAATAGCAATACAAGACAGGATGGCTAAAAAGAGGAGACCTTGGAATATTCCTGGAAATGTTGGACTCTAGGGCTGGATATCTTGCAGGGAGCCCAGGAACAATCTGGGATACTGGAAGGTGTCCCCATGGCAGGAACGAGGTGATCTTTAATTCACTTCCAACCAAAACCATTCTGTGATTTCTGTGAAAATTTCTGGAGGGTCAGGCAAGGTGTTTCATTCGCCATTTAGTATAATTCCTCTCTTTTTTTAATTTTTTTTTTCATTTCTCTCTCACTATGGCATTTTTCCCATCCCTTCTCTGGAATTATCTGAATAATAATAACAATACAAGACAGGATGGCTAAAAAGAGGAGACCTCTGAATATTCCTGGAAATGTTGGACTCTAGGGCTGGATATCTTGCAGGGAGCGCAGGAACGTGGCTGCACTGCGAAAGGGCTGTGGATAATCTTGTGATCTGTTCCATTCCCAGCTGAAGGAAACAAGATCTCCTGCTCCCATGCAGTGTCAAGCCAGCTAAGTGCATTAAGGTTTTCCTGCTCTTCAGGAGCATCTGCTCCGAGTGGGGATGCAGGAACCGGTGACCCCACACTCGGAGCCTCAGATGGTTTTGTTCCCAAGTGGTTGGTGTTGAACAGAGGGATGTGGAGAGCAAGAGGAGGGGAGTGTGGCAGCAGCAGGCCCTGAAAATGCTGGGAAATGCCCTGCTGAGAACAACCCTGTGCCCTGGAGCTGCTTTTGGAGGAGAGGAGCTGGGGAGGTGCCGTGCTGGAGCGGCCTCACCCGCAGCCCTTTGTTTGCCATTGATCGTGGGGCCCTGGGAGCTGCCAGGGCTTCCCGGCTGATGCTGAAATATTGATGAGGCTGCAGGCGGGGCCGTGCCTGCAGGGCTGTGCCCAGGAGGGCAGGGCTGTGCCCGGGAGGGCAGGGCTGTGCCCAGGAGGGCAGGGCTGTGCCCAGGAGGGCAGGGCTGTGCCCAGGACAGGCAGGGCCGTGCCTGCAGGGCTGTGCCCAGGAGGGCAGGGCTGTGCCTGCAGGGCTGTGCCTGCAGGGCTGTGCCCAGGAGGGCAGGGCTGTGCCTGCAGGGCTGTGCCTGCAGGGCTGTGCCCAGGAGGGCAGGGCTGTGCCCAGGACGGCAGGGCTGTGCCTGCAGGGCTGTGCCTGCAGGGCTGTGCCCAGGAGGGCAGGGCTGTGCCTGCAGGGCTGTGCCTGCAGGGCTGTGCCCAGGAGGGCAGGGCTGTGCCTGCAGGGCTGTGCCTGCAGGGCTGTGCCCAGGAGGGCAGGGCTGTGCCTGCAGGGCTGTGCCCAGGACGGCAGGGCTGTGCCCAGGACGGGCAGGGCCGTGCCTGCAGGGCTGTGCCCAGGACGGCAGGGCTGTGCCTGCAGGGCTGTGCCTGCAGGGCTGTGCCCAGGACGGCAGGGCTGTGCCCAGGACGGGCAGGGCTGTGCCCGGGACGGGCAGGGCTGTGCCCAGGAGGGGCAGGGCTGTGCCCAGGACGGGCAGGGCTGTGCCCAGGGTTACAGGGCTGTGCCCAGGACGGGCAGGGCTGTGCCCAGGGGGGCAGGGCTGTGCCCAGGGGGGCAGGGCTGTGCCCGGGACGGGCAGGGCTGTGCCTGCAGGGCTGTGCCCAGGAGGGGCAGGGCTGTGCCCAGGAGGGCAGGGCTGTGCCCAGGACGGGCAGGGCTGTGCCCGGGACGGGCAGGGCTGTGCCCAGGACGGGCAGGGCTGTGCCTGCAGGGCTGTGCCCAGGACGGCAGGGCTGTGCCTGCAGGGCTGTGCCTGCAGGGCTGTGCCCAGGACGGCAGGGCTGTGCCCAGGACGGGCAGGGCTGTGCCCAGGACAGGCAGGGCCGTGCCTGCAGGGCTGTGCCCAGGAGGGCAGGGCTGTGCCTGCAGGGCTGTGCCTGCAGGGCTGTGCCCAGGAGGGCAGGGCTGTGCCTGCAGGGCTGTGCCTGCAGGGCTGTGCCCAGGAGGGCAGGGCTGTGCCTGCAGGGCTGTGCCCAGGACGGCAGGGCTGTGCCCAGGACGGGCAGGGCTGTGCCTGCAGGGCTGTGCCCAGGACGGCAGGGCTGTGCCTGCAGGGCTGTGCCTGCAGGGCTGTGCCCAGGACGGCAGGGCTGTGCCCAGGACGGGCAGGGCTGTGCCCGGGACGGGCAGGGCTGTGCCCAGGAGGGGCAGGGCTGTGCCCAGGACGGGCAGGGCTGTGCCCAGGGTTACAGGGCTGTGCCCAGGACGGGCAGGGCTGTGCCCAGGGGGGCAGGGCTGTGCCCAGGGGGGCAGGGCTGTGCCCGGGACGGGCAGGGCTGTGCCTGCAGGGCTGTGCCCAGGAGGGGCAGGGCTGTGCCCAGGAGGGCAGGGCTGTGCCCAGGACGGGCAGGGCTGTGCCCGGGACGGGCAGGGCTGTGCCCAGGACGGGCAGGGCTGTGCCCAGGAGGGCAGGGCTGTGCCCAGGGTTACAGGGCTGTGCCCAGGAGGGGCAGGGCTGTGCCCAGGACGGGCAGGGCTGTGCCCAGGGTTACA